ATAATAATTTATCATAAGTTGGTTTGGGGGTTTTGTTTATTATTTCTATTAGTTTAGGAGAGTTGGGTTCATTCGAGGCGTCTTTTTACAGCGATATTAACAATCATTTTTTCTCTTCTCTTAACTCCGAGTGGGAGTGCACACAGATCATAAAGAGTCTCACCCTAAGTTGGCCCAACCCCACCCCCCAACAATTATAAACCTATTTTATTTTATGAAGTTCTGTTCTTTCATGTTAAGCTGATTCTTTAGTGGCTTAGTGATTTTAAACTCTTTATTCTGTGCTCTGTATATTCATGCCTTGTAGTCATGTGGTTTCGTCGTGACTGCTGCGTTGAGTATTCTACTCAGTACTACTGTTGAGTGCCTTGCTTAACAATAACTATTGTGTTAACTTTCTGCTTGAATTCCCCAGAACAGAAAAGATATGCAGAAAGAAATTCCCCATTGAATATGACCCATGTTTATTATAACCTGAACATTTTTGACCACTTGCTTCAGAGGATTCACTGCCAAACCTGTCATTTCACAATATTTTTATATACTTATTTCATAATCTCTCACCATTTTCAGGACAAAGGTTGAAAGCCTACAAAAACACAGATGCATACAAGTACTTCACCACTGGCTGAGTAATGGAGTCTAAAATATGGCATCTGAAACTGAAGAAAATGTTTCTTGTCAAAGCAAAGGTACATGACAAAGCTTTTAGTGTAATCTGTCGGAGTGCCAGTGCTGTCTTCTTACAGCCGTGGGCATCAACACTAGCACTGGTTATTATTGACAGATTACAGCCAGCAAGCCTGCGGCATTACTGTGCGCTTAACTTGAAGCTGCTACAGCTACTTTATGTTACATGAGAATTATTTCTGTATAGCACCAATTTTTTCCATTGTTACAAGCTAGAATTATTGCCTTTACTAAAGAACCCTTGAAGAACCATCTTTTTAAGAGTGTACACTACCATGGTGTGCTGCATCATCTGATGGAATCACATTTTGTGCATGCCATGGTCTAGGTGTGCTAGAAATAAAGTAACCCTTAATGTTTCAGTCTAGCTACACTGAAAACTGCATCACTGAAACAGACTTTTGCCTTACAGCAAGAGTGACTTATACCAGATCATCTGTACATGTGACAGATTCAAGCACAAATTTACACTACAGAAGCTGACCATTGTTCTATGGAGTCCCACAGAAATGTCTGTGCAGTATATTCAATGTGATCAAAGTCTCCAAAATGAAATTCTCTGTCAGCAAGAATGATGTTGCCAGGTGACCGTTAGTCTAGAAAGTCAGTGTTCTGTGACAAAATGTTTTTGCAGCATATTCAATGTTTTCAAGACTTCTGTCATGTGAAATACAGTAGAGTGGACCAGTTTATTAAAACTGGACTTCTGCCCGAATGTAATGGGGCTCAAGTTAAAAGCTTTAATGCCAGAAAGATGATCCAAAATCACAGCCATTAAACCAAAACAGAAAGCCAAAAACCAGATATCCAAAACTGAGCAAAAGAACAAGACAAAAAGCAGGGTCATAGACGAAAAATGGGTTATACACGTGAACAGGTTAACAGACATGAAGGACACACTCGGTTTGCTCGGTTTTGATGAACAATTAATTAAAAAGTTAACAGGACATTATTCCACATGGTATGCAGATCAAGCAGTCAGGAGGAACTCAAAAAGATATTTTTACATTGTATATTACCAAGAAAAAGATGTTTACAAACTAATTAATTATCACAACAAAGTAAAAAGAATTACCAAATAAATCTATGATGGAGCTAAAGAAACTTACTTGCAGCACACTTCACAGTTTGACACACTGTTGAGGTAGAAGATCACTCTGAGCCACTTATCTTAATTTAGGAAGTCCTGTTCTTAGTTTCTTTTTAAGGGAGACAACTTCAGCTTTATATGGCCAGTTTAGTTACGGAGAGATCATTTTCACAAGGTTTGTCTGTCTAACAGCTACATATAACTGTGGCACTGGTATAAAGTACTGAATTTGCAAATGCAAATAATAATGTTACCCAGAAGAACATAAAAAAACGTTTCCACTGAAAATATTAATAGAACACATGCATAATATTCTCAGAACATTTTTAGAACAAAACAGTCCTAGCTGGTGTTGGTTTTGCATTGTAGTGCCAGACTGTGCTGGGCTTGGGGTGGTTTGTGTGGGAGCCAGTATCTACCATCACCACGGGATGTGTGAGTCTTACTGACCTGCCAGCTATCTCGGCTGTTCAGTAGCGCTGAGTGGCAGGTCTCCCCTGGTGCTATGTTTAATAAAAGAGCATTCACTTGAAGTGCTATGTGTCCTGCATCTTCTTACTCTACGCTGACATCACAATATTTAATTGGTGTGTATGGGTGGGGCATTGGCTTTTGTGTGCTGCTGCCTATCGCTTGTGGTGTAGAAAGTCTGTCCGGGGTGGCGCAATTGTTTGCCTGCTGGAAACATATAAAGACATTATAGTCATGAATATTAACATGTTTTATTTTAACAGTCATGCTGAGGGTGGATGTTTTATTGTAATATCTTGATTTTGATGTATATGTTGACACACGTAGGTTTATTCCATATCCACTCACCTAGTCTTGTGGATTCCTATGAAAGAACATTGCTACTATCTGACTGGACTGAGCTGCAATGTTGAAATGTCTAATATGTGTAAAAATGTTTCCTGAGCATGTAGAAAAGCCCAGAGTTGAAGAATGAACTAAATAAAGCAGGAGGCTCATCAGGCATTGCCCATCTTCTTCCCCTCCAGAACCTCTCTATACTGGCAGGGCCCATGCTAAAAACAACCCAGTCTTCCAGCTACACTTGTTGTTTAGATAACGTCTTTGGAATTCAGCTGTGGTACATCTCCAGATTTTATCGAAAACACTAGACCGGTTCTGTAATCTTGATCCTGAAAAAATAATCCACTTCCTGCACTTATTTATGTACAGTAGGTTGTTTAGATATAATTAAGTTGTGGTGCACCTCTGCCTTTTTGCAACTTTTTTCTAAATAAAGCACCTAAAATGCTTTAAAGCTAAAACAGTCTATCTTCATTTGGCCACAGCAGAAAAACAAAGTAAACGTTTCAGGTAATAAAGTAAGCTAAACCAGTTTAGTAGTACAGTGTAACAGAACTGTGTGTCATTTTCCAAAGTACGCTGGACTAAAGCCCTATCTATGACACCTATCCACAGTGCTGTGAAAAAGTATTTGCCCCTCACCTGATTTCTTCTTTTTTGCTAATTGCCACCACAATGTTTGACTGTTGGTATAATGTTCTTATGATGGAATAGGGTGTTAGCTTTACGCCAGATGTAACAGGACCCATGTCTTCCAAATAGTGCCACCTTTGACCAGACAGCCAAGAGAATATTTTCCCAAATGTCTTGGGGCTCATCTAGATGTTTTTTGGCAAATGTGAGACGAGCCTTTGTTTCTTTTTGGTCAGCAGTGGTTTGCGTTTTGCAGCTCTCCCATGGATGCAATTTTCACCCATCATCTTTCTTATTGTAGAATCATGTACATTGATCTTAACTGAGACAAGTGAGGCCTGTAGTTCCTTAGATGTTGGTCTGGGCTCTTCTGTGACCTCCTGGATGAATCACTCTTGGTGAAATTTTGGTAGGTTGGCCACTCCTGGGAAGGTTCACCACAGTTCCAAATTTTTCTGTGTGTGGATAACGGCTCTCATTATGGTTTTCTGGAGACGCAGAGCCTCAGCAATGGCTCTGTAACCCTTTCCCGATGGTAGATTTCAGTGACTTTGTTTCACATCTGTATTTGAGTCTCTTTAGAACGTGGCATCATGTGCTCCTTTTTGAGACCTTCTAGCTGCTTCACACAGCTAGATAGGTTCAATTTAAGTGATTTTTAGATTCAGAAGGTCTGGCAGTGATCATGTCTGGGTGTGGCAGTGAAACTGAACCCAATAGTCAATTGAATTTGGTTAACTAGTTGACTTAGTAGCTAAGGGGCAATTACTTTTTCACTCAGGGCCAGGTAAGGCTGAACAGCATTTTTCCTTCAATAAATGAAATCACCATTCAAAAACAGCATTTTGTGTTTATTCATGTTATCATTGTCTAATATTGAAAAGAGTTGATGACCTGAAACATTCATGTTTGACAAATATGTAAATAATAGAAGAAACTGGGAGGGGACAAATACTTTTTCACAGCACTGGAGATTAATATTATTACTGGAAGCTACAGCTGCAACATTGTCTGTGTTAACACTGCTTTAGTGATGTTAGCTTGTGGGGGTCTGTCCACACTTGTATGTGGAGTTCTGGTACTCTGTATTGTGATGTAAAGATCTTGGCTTAAGGTAGCCACTAGATATTTGAAGCTCTTAACAGACACTCCTCAGGAGGCAGAGCTGCGATGTGTGCATGGTATGGTGTCAGCTTGCTCTCAAAAGATCTGATATGGATAGAACAGGTACTGTGGGAAATGTGTTCAAACATGTTAAACTTATTAATGTCAGGTAAAATATGAATACTCCATAAAGTTTGATCATACATTTCATGAATGTTGATTGAAACATTAATGAATAAGTTAAAAAGTGTTTTTTAAGGCATTATGAATATGTTAATGAGACACCCTTCATGTAAATGTTATTAAGGCATCTGATCCTGAAGGGGTTTAATACAGTAATGTACAGACTGTGTATGTTCAGTTTTAGTATGCCCTCCCACAATCCAGAAACATTTCACACTATCTTTTTTTTTTTTTTACAAAAATCCTGTTCCTGATTGAATCTTCATAAAAGTTCACTCAATTCCCAGTTAGTGACTACATGTTTACTGAAACTGCAGACCCAACTGTGCTGTGTTTTACATGATTGCGTGTGAGTGTCTTTGGTAGGACAAGTGCACAGGTGTTTACCTCTTAAGCTCCGCCCCTCCTGAGCTGTTCACTGGGTGTCCAGGTCTATAAATGATCTGCTGCAGAAGCTTCATCTGCACAAACTGCTTCTCTACAGACACTGACACTTCACTTCTACAGCCTCTACTGACCACCGTGAGTACTACACTTATGCACTTTTTCATACCTAATGAAGTAAACTCTTTAGGAGGAGGGTTTGATCACAACTGCACAGTACTTTATAGAATATAATCTACAGTAATATGTAATATGAAGTAATACCACCATATAAAGAGAAATTCTGTTCCTGAGTTTTTATCCTGCAGGGCACAGTTTAATTAATAAACTATAAACTATAAATATTCCACAGGAAAATGAGCAGGAATGCACTCTCTACCAATCAGGAACTGCATAAGGGGGACTATCTGATCTCTAATGATGGAAACCACAAAGCTATCTTCCAGGTACGACACCTGCTGACAACAGCACACAGTTTTTGACTGTTAACTGAAAACACAGTGTGAATTATATTTGAGTTGATCTTGGGACAAAAACCGTGAAGGTTTCTTTCTCTTAACTGACATTTCCTGTGTGTTTGCATTCTTTCAGGATGATGGGAACTTTGTGGTTTACAGCATGAAACCAGTTTGGGCTTCAGACACTTGGAACAAACCAGGAACTCGCCTCATAATGCAGGAGGACGGAAACCTGGTCATTTACACCAATGATGGCAAACCTTTGTGGGCCAGTAACTGCTGGCAGAACAGTAAAACCCAGGACAACCGTCTGTCCATCAACAATGAAGGCAGCCTGATCATCCACAGGGGAGCCACAGTGCTCTGGACAGCTAAAAAATAAAAACCTACCGTACACTCACACTTATCCACTTAGAGTCGTATGCAAATGTTGGAACACTGCCAGTCAAATTCCATGTGTTTTTGATTTTTCTTGTGAAAATAAGGTAAAATATGATCTAGAGTGAAAACACTTAAATACGGCTCTAATATTTTTCCATTTATTTCTATAAATAGAATAGAATACAATTTCTATTCATTTGCTGGGTTTAACATATTGGGAAATATGTTAAACCCAGGGTGTATCCTGCCTTCCGCCCAATGACAGCTGGGATAGGCTCCAGCACCCCACCGCGACCCAGAAGGATAAGCGGTTTGGATGATGGATGAATGGATGTTAAACCCAGCAATTCCTATGAAACAAACATTTCCCATAGATTTTGCACAGGCCACCAAATCAACAACATGGAATTTGACCTGAGGTGTTCAGTATTTTGCAGATGACTGCATATATCCATGTGTGGGTGTAAGCTTTCAGAGTAATATGTGACTTAAAGAAATCACATTCAAATTATTGAAAGTAATTTTTGTCTTATGAATGACAAAAAAAAAAAATGATGGAAAAGGTATGATTGAATGAACTACATCTTACAAATAAAAAATTCTGATTTAATTTGTCTTCTTATTGCATTTAAATGATTAAACATTTTTATTTTATTCTACTTAAACAACAGCTGATGTGAAAGTGGATCTTAAGTGAATAACAGTGCGCAAATGACTGAGACTCATGGTTAAGTCTAGTTTCATGTACATATGCAGGGCTGCAGGTTTCATTTGACTTTCTGGTGTGTAAAGCAAACCTAGTAATGAATTGTTTACTGGCGTATGGGTGCTTGTAGCAGTGCTACTGAAAAAATCATGGTGTTTTAACCTTACGCTGCACTACAGATGTGCTGTGTTACCTGATGAAGTCCATCTGAGCAGAACTGAGTGGATCTAAGAAAAGAAAAGAGCAGATCTCTCTAAAGGGCAAAAATTCTGAAGAGCAGTTCCTGAATGTAACACTAAAGGGGATTCAGGGCATAGATAAACATGCCTAGATGCCGCGTTGCCTATTGTTTTCTATTAGTGGCAATACGTCTGTGGATAAACTTGGCCACAACTTCCTTATTACTCAACCAATTTTCACCAAATTTTCACCTGTTTAGTTATAATCCTCAGGCACAGATTAATCTAATAGGAAAGTATTCAGTCTGCATCTGATGTTAAAAACCAGTTTAGCGTGAGTAGAAAGATAATTTCACATACATCAGCAAATCCATCAGTGTGAATCACTTCTAATCTTAATACACATAAAAATAAAATAAACCCTCAAAACACAGTAAGAAGGTGCTGAGCTAAAGAAACCAAGGGTGCATACTCAGCATTAACAATCAGTGTAAATAAATGAATATAACTACTACACATCAAGTTAAGATCTCCTGCTATTAAATGAAATAAGCTTAATAAAAAAACCAGAAGAAAAACAATCACAAGCAACCACTCAAACCTACACACAAACATCACACAAACAAAAATGCTGACGCTTTGTTCTCTGCCTTATACAGTGCTGTGAAAAACTACTTCCCAATTTCTTCTATTTTTGCGCATTTGTCACACTTAAATGTTTCAGATCGTCCAACTACTTTTAATATTAGACAGTGATAACATAAGTAAACACTAAATGCTGTTTTTAAATGATGATTTGATTTATTGAAGGAAAAATGCTGTTCAGCCTTAATTGGCCCTGAGTGAAAAAGTAATTGTCCCTTAGCTACTAAGTCAACTAGTTAACCAAATTCAATTGACTGTTGGGTTCAGTTTCACTGCCACACCCAGACATGATTACAGCCAGAGCTTCTGAATCTAAACATCACTTAAATTGAAACTGTCTGGCTGTGTGAAGCAGATAGAAGGTCACGTTCTAAAGAGACTCAAATGTGAAACAAAGTCACTGAAATCTACTGTTGGGAAAGGGTCACAAAGCCATTTCTGAGGCTCTGGGACTCCAGAGAACAACAGCAAGACCTGGAACAGTGGTGAACCTTTCCAGGAGTGGACAACCAAAATTTCACCAGGAGCGCATCAACAACCCATCCAGTAGAACTAGATGAACATCTCAGGAACTGCAGGTCTCACTTGTTAAGGTCGGTGTACATGATTCCATAATAAGAAAGACACTGGGCAAAAATGGCATCTATGGGAGAGCTGCAAACCACTGCTGATCAAAAAGAAACAAAGGCTCGTCTCACATTTGCCAAAAAGACATCTAAATGACCCCCAAGACTTATATAGATAATATTCTGTGGACTGATGAGTCAAAGGTGGAACCTTCTGGAAGACATAGGTCCCATTACATCTAGCGTAAAGCTAACACTGCATTCCACCATAAGAACATCATACCAACAGTGAAACATGGTGGTGGTAGTGTGATGGTCTGGGACTGCTTTGCTTCTGCAGAACCTGGACGACTCGTCATTGTTGATGGAACCATGAATTCTGTTCTTTATCAGAAAATCCTGAAGGAGGATGTTCAGCTGTAGGTTTGTGACCTGAAGCTCAAACGCAGTTGGGTTCTGCAGCAGGACAATGATCTGAAGCATGTCCACCTCTGAATGGCTCAAAACAAAGACAGTGAAGGTTTTGGAGTGGCCGAGTCAAAGTCCTGACTTGAATCCCATCTCAAGACCCTAAATGGTCAGTTCATGCTCGAAAATCCTCCAATGTAGCAAAATTAAAACAATTCTGCAATAAAGAGTGGGCCAAAATTCCACAACAATGTTTACAAGAATCGTCGCAAGTTATCGCAAAAGTTTCATTGCAGTTGTTACTGCCAAGGGCAGCACAACCAGTTATTAGATTTGGGGGCAATTACTTTTTCACGAGTGATATAGGTTTTAAATAAATCTTTATCTTCAATAAAGGGAATAATCATTTAAAAGCTGCATTTTGTGCTTACACTTGTTGTTTACTCTCGTCTTTATCTTGTATGAAAATTAGTTGAATAATCTGAAACATTTAAATGTGACAAATTAGCAAAAACAGAAAAAATCTGGTGAGGGGCAAATATTTTTTCATGGCACTGTATAATCCTGTCCCACTTTCTGAGTGCCATATTCTATAGTACACTGTTGGACAGCACACTTTTTAACCTGCCTCTCTGTAATGGCAATGCAGTCGGGCAGTGATGTTGACCACTCCAAAATAGCAGTTGACGTGCCTGGCTGAACACAATGCAGCCTCTATGTAGGCAGGGGACCAAACCACTGTGAGGCCTATGAAGGAAACTTAAACTTATACTTTGATCTAAGTTTAAACTTTAAACTTAAATCAAATTGTTTTGCGCATATAATTAGCACAAGTTCTTTCAGTGCATGTTATTATATTATATAAGATTATACGACTCTCTGTTTCTCTCAGGAAAGTGGGGAGTGAAATTAGAGAAATATGAATTCCATCTCTTTTCTGGGATATGTATGAATGGGGTGCAAATAGAAAACAGGAAGGTCCAGGCAGTTGCCAAATGGCCCAGACCCAAAATGATGAAGGAGTTCACCTCTCACCTTCTTACTCCTTTGGGATTCCTTGACTACTCATGTATTTGAGGCACTCAACAAAAGATTCATCACTGCCCCCTTTCTGTGTTATCCTGGTCCTACACTACCATTTGTGGCAGAAGTAGATGCCTCTTAATCAGGGATCAGAGCTATTCTCTCCCAGTATCACAGCACACCCCCCAAACTGCACCCCCATGCTTTCTTCTAAAAAAAACTCACCCCAGCAGAAAGAAATTAAGATGTCAGTAACCATTAATCGTTAGCTATCAAAGCTACTTTGGAGGAATGGAGACACTGGCTAAAAGGGACACACTATTTGATTAACACTATTTATAAACCTCAAATTTGTAAAAGCATCTAAATGTCTCAATTCAAGCTTGTTGGGCCCTGGTTTCACTAGATTTAATTTCACTTACTGAGACAATTAATGCCAAAGCTGTTGGTGTATCACAGGTGTTTGACACCGTTGCACAAAAACAGACAGATGAAACAATCCTTCCCTCCTCATGTATTATTGCACCAGTCAGAAATGCAGAGCCACCCCACTTGTCCTCCTTCCAAAGAGGGCCCACCAGTATGCAGGCACCTACTCTCCAGTGGATACACACTTCCCTGAGCTCTGGACATCCAGGCATCCAACGTAGCATATCTCTGGTAAGAAACTAATTATGGTGGCCTTCTCTAGAACAAGATGTCTGACTATGTCAAAGCTTCTAGTATATGCAAATTAAGTAAAACCCCATGACAGTTATCACCACTGCCTGTTCCACACTGGTCCTGGTCACATTTATTGATAGATTTTTTTTACTAATCTACCAAGCTCACAGGGCTTCACAACTGTATTTAACATTATTGGTTTTTGAAGGCTTGTCAGCCCATTACCTTCAACTAAACTGCCCACTGCTGTGGAAATGGCAGAAACCATCTTCCCTGCTTCTTCGGGCTTCCAGAGGACATGTCTTAGATAGAGGTACAGAGTTCACCTCACAAGTCTGGCAGGCATTCTGTAAACTATTGAATATTAGGACACCCTCTAGATCCAAGTGTAGTCTTGATAGCAGCTCCTCAGTAGGTTCTACTAGCTGATGTGCAAACTGTTCAATGTAGTGATTGTCTGATTGAGAGAACCCCCTTTCAACTGATTCAGGCCTTACTCCTTCAGCAAACTGAATGGTAAGTTAAGCTACAGCAGGTGAATGAATGAGTTTTTGTCCATCCTCCTCTGGTGTACACCGGAGAGCAAACAATGACACAAGCAATGTGAACAGAGAAGAAGATTTTACCATTAATATAAAATGTTAAAAATAGACAAAGGAGAGAAAAACATCCTGTCATTGGACAAAAGTATTTAGGTCATCGTTTAGCAACGATAACTGATGACTGTTAGTGGCCTGTTAGAGTAACACTGAGAAATAGAGGTTCACCAATCTGTATAAAACAATATCACACAATCTACAGTACATAATATCATCAAAAGATTCAGAGAATCTGGAGAAATCCCTGTATGCAAGGAAAAAGCCGACGGTCCATTTTGGATGCTCATGACCTTTGGGCCCTCAGGCAGCACTGCATTAAAAACAGGAATGATTCTGTACTGGAAA